ATGAAAGAGCATCACTGATCAGCTGCCTCCCGCACACCCCACACTGGGGATGGAGCCTGCAATCCTGTCATATGCCCTGAATAGAACTGTGGCCTCCTTGTTCATAGGTTGATGCTCAACCACTGAGCCACACCAGCCCCAGATTATTTCTTATTGGCCCTGTCATAAAGTAGTTGCAAACTCTCTTAAAACAGTAATCAGTTTGAAACCAGGTGAGCAAGCCTATAATAGTAAGTAATTAAGAATATGCTTAGGTATTCAGCTGTGAAATACTAAGCTAGACTACATTGTGAAAAAGAAGAATGGAAAGTAAACAGCCTTTGTAATGCAAATCGATCAGTAGCAGAAAGCCAAAACTTTTGGAATCCCAAAACTACATCTGAGTTCACAACAGATCTTGCACCACCCTTTTTTGGTTAATGAAATTAAACCTATTTTAACCTGTAGGTAAGTACCCTTCAGTGTCACTAAAGCACAGCCCGGGAGTTGTGGCGGGTCCATGTAGTTACTGGGCCCTCACAGGGGCTGGTAGCCACTCAGCCGCAGGAGCGCCCAAGCCTCCAAGGACAAATGACCAACACTCAAAGGGAGGATCCTCCAGTTTCCTAACTCCTTGAACTCCTCCAAAATCCTCCACTTTCCCAACCTCCCCCGAGGGCCTCAGAGCCAGACCTGCGCGGGGCCGAGGTGGATTTAGGCCGGTGGAGTTAAGATGGTATCATTAGCTGCGCACAGCGTGACTTCTCCCTAATCCTTTCTGCAACTTACAACAAGTTTAAATGTCCATGCATGATGTTATTAACGGGCTTTAGTACGCGCTTAAGACCCAGATCTCTTTTTAAAGTAATCTCTGAACAAGTTCTACTGTATCCACCCAACAAGGAGATGAATGTTTCTTGCACATCTGATAGGGAGAAGGAGTCCCTAAGGGGCAGTGGGGTAGAGGTGTGTTCCTTGGTTCTGGGAAGGGCCCAGGGCTGAGTGCGCTCACGGGCCCAGGCTGGGCATTCACAAAACTCCCTCCTAGAGCTTCCTCGCAAAGGTGGGGCAGGGGAGGGGGTAAGGGGTGCAGGGTGCTGGGTTAAAAGAAAAAGATGGGGGGGGGGGGAAAGGGGCACGCACATTATCTTTATCAGTGACATTGGGTCATACTCGAAGATGCCTATGCAGAACTAGAGACACTGAGTGCCAGCACAAGAAAGCCCCTTCCTGAATCCCAAGGCCCCCGCCAGCCTGAAGAAGGAAGGGGCCCTGGGAAGGGGGGTACCTCGCCTCCGACAGACACCCAGGCGTGACAACTCCGAGGCCACCCCCAACCTCCACCACCCCAACTCATTGACTCCTAAGCAACCGCGGTCCGGCGCTGGCGCCGAGGCAGCACCGAGGTCTCAGCTGGTGCACGCAGAGGAAAGGCGGGCAAATCAAAAATCGCATAACAGCCTTCGCCGACGCAATTCAGCGTGGGGAGGAGGGAGGGGGGCACTCCGTGGGGTCTGCAAGCCCCGCGGTCTGCAAGCGCTGGAGGGCGGGCTCCGGAATTCGAGCTCCAGCGAGCGAACTTGGGAGGCCTCCCCGGCTCCCGCTGCAGCCGCAAGCACGCCCCCGCCGCCGTGCACCAGCCTCGGGAGCGCGCGCGCCGGCGCACCAGCCCGGGCAGCTCCGGCCGCCGGTCTCCCGGGAAACACCAATCAGACGCCGCTTCCAGGAGAGGCCCGAGCGGAGGACCGGGCTGCGGGCGGTCAGGGGAGGCGTGGTGCTGGCCCGCCGCTGACCGGCCGGCCGGCCGGCCGCCCGCGCCCCGGCCGCTGCCGGCCCTGCGGCTCCCGCAGCCACTCCCAGCGCCGCCCTCCCCTCCGCACCGCCCGCGCCAGGCACCTTGCACCGCGGCTGCTAAGCCTGGCTATTTTTAGATCTCCAGAATACATGGTGCCAGGGCTCAGCTCAAACCACCAAAATACACGGATGTGGCTCCCTTTGATCAAAGATGGCTCAGAACTCCATATCCTCCCCCCCCCCCCCGAATAAAGTCGATTATCTTCACTTTTTAAAGTCCTAACCACCACCCCCGTGGTCTGACAGCTGGCCGCAAAGCAGAAAGCCACAAGCTCCCACCTCAGAGAGGTCGTCACCTTTCTGAGAAGTGCACTCACTCTCATGGCCCTGATGGAAGGCAGGCAGATATTCCTCAGCAGCAATCATCACTGTCTACTTCTCAATGCCATTCACCACCTTCAGAATGAATTCCACAATTAGGCCAAACAATTCCCAAAAAGGGAATGGAGATTTCTGCGGATTGCTGTACTAGGTTAACTTGTGTGGAGGCACCAGTGAACACAAAAACAAGATAACAAAGCCGTCCATTAAAATGTGGAGACCCTGAAGAGCTACCTTACATGTACCTCCGCTGAGGGCCATGGTTAACCGTCCAAAGTATGAGTATTAAAACAATGGGCTAGTATTACAGCTGTCTTTTTACCTAGTAACTTTTTAAAAGATATCTTATCTCATGCTACCCATTTCACCACCTCCCCCTAGCACCCATCCAAAAGCAACATAGTATGGTGGGTTTTACTTACTCTAATTAAAGAAATGCTTAGTCATAGAAAGACAGAGTGGGAAAGGGGTATCAATATTCTCAAGCCACAACAGCCTTCCAGAGATACAGATCCATGGACAAAAATTAGTTATACTGCCTATATCTCATCTATTCTCTAGCCATACTGGAAAATAAAATTTTTGGATTCACCTCTCCATTTAAAAAAAAAAAGTCAAAATCTTAAAATGCTAAACTGGCTTGAAATGTCTATATGTAGTCTATGGAGAGGAAGACCATCTGTGAACCTGAAATGTACTCATCTTATATATTATTTACTACTTAAGTGGTTTCTTAATTTTCATAATAAACTCCATAAAATCAAATTAAAATTTCCTATTCTTCCAAATAAGAAAATTGTTTTAGTTTTGAAAATAAGCACAGAATACTGGTAGTGGAAATTTAGTGTTTAAGAAGTATTAAAGAAAAGCCACTTCTGGGGAAAAATTACTTTGAATGTAAATAATAAATTTATTTCATTATTATGCACATTAATTTTAACTTCACTAAGGGGTTAATACTGGTGAATATATTCATTCATATCATGTAAGGGTATTGCAGAAGTTTTCCTATACATCTTTTTTTAACTGTATACAACTTTTATTTTTGTTGATTTGGATTTTTCTGTATGACTGTGTTTTTATGTTAGATCCTTTATAATTTCTATCACTGAGTGGATTTTCATTGTTATTTTTCTTGTACAAAGTAGAACAAGGGAAATAAGTTGGTTATATCTTTATATTTACTTTTACAGGTGTCATTTTATCAGCCTATTTCTAAGTATCTCATGAAAAGATTCTAGATGTCAAAACCTGCAGTTAACATTCCTATTTAGAAATACACAAAATAATACCTTTGACGTTGGAACTCTTATATATTATTCAGCAAAACAGCAATTACTCATTGTTTTGCACTTACATGTTAAGAACTATGGGACACTTGGTGACACCATAACAAAATTGCAAAGTCAATTATACTTAAAATAGACATCCTAATAAAACATACACAACCAACTCCTTTTACACTTTTTGACCTGTTTTGTTTCCCTTTTCTGACTGTTTAGAGTCAAATAGATCCTATGAATGTTAAACCTAAGTATAATAACTGATTCACACACATCAAGGGGAAAAGTTAGAACATGGGGAGTGGGTGTACTATAAAGTGAGGTGTATTCCTGAGGGCAGCAGAATCCAGCTATGGAGGTGCCAGAATATTTTTTTAAATGTACATGTATGATGTTCTTTTGCAATGTCAATCATACCGGCGAACTTTAAAGCAAAATTTAAACTAAATTTATATGAAACATTCTAAGCAGCACCAAAGCAACACAACCCAAGCAGAGTTCCTTTAGATTTAAGAAAGGAGGATTTAAGATGGGACCAGTTGTTTTGTTTTATTCTATTTTAATTGCCCAAGAAGCATTTTTGTAACTTGAACTTCCCAGTAATTAATTCCACTTCTCAACCCAGCTTGCAGCCTGAACTGAAGTTCCCATCAAAAAATTAAAATGTTTGTCTGGATAAAATAACTTCTAAATGAACTCTTTTTTTTTTTTTTTTTTTGGTTCTTTTTTTGTATTTCTGCAAGGTAGCCCCTCGCAATGATATTAGTTCTAGTGTGGGAAAATATTATAATTGAGATCTGGTAAGTTATTTGCAGACTTCAAGTTTTTCTTTACACTGTGCTGACATTTAGTACAGCCCTGGGGAGGAAAACAATACTACCATTCATAGCTCTAGACGTAGATTTCAATCGACTTAAGCGGGCACAATGAAACTTGGTCATTCACTGGTTACCCATATTGTGTTCTCAAATTTTCTCTCAGCAAAAGTATAATGACTCAGTATTGTATGGTTGCATAGACAAGGGCTCGGAACAAGAGACACTAGTTTTGTCTGACGGTGTGAGAAAGTCGTGAAGGGATCTTTTCTTCCAGATGGTGTTAAATTCAGCTGCCTTTTTAACATTGGCCTTGCACAAGCAATCTGCTGCTTCCCTTTCACAAAGACTGCGCTCGGTTCCCACTAGTTAACATGCATACTCACGCAACCTGCAACTTCACTCCAACTGTTTTACAATGCAGTGGTATGCTAAATAAACTTGATCCAGTTTCTGCCAATGTTAAAACTAGCTTTCAAAGAACGACTTAGCTGATATTTACACTTCTTTTGACTTAAATGTGCATGCCTTTGGAATATTTCAGATTTCAAAGAAATATCACCTTATTATAAGGTCATGATAGAGACTACCTCAGACAGCCTGCAGACCTAAGCTCAGATACAGTACCTCTCCCAAACACACACAAATAAAACAAAATGCCAAAAGTTTGATGTGTAAATAGAAAAAAGAAAACTTGGGACATGTTGCAGCGAGAGCAGTGAAACAGCAAAAAATAAAATGAAAATAATAACATTGAAATGCATTTTTATTGATCGATAAGTCATGTAACATTAGTATGATACAAAGCAAGTTTGATATGACAATGGCAAACACAGAATCATAATATTGTTTATTTTACTTAAATGTTATATTTAACATATTTACATGAAAGACCGAGATGTAGGCAAAAGCGTCAGTAATTTGACTCCATTGAGTGCTTTCAGTAAACAATAGGTTTCCCCCAGCAAACATCTTATTGCCTTAATTGAACCTCCTTGAGAAAGAAAACCACACACTTTGTAATGTAAATGTTAATTGTAGTAGACAATGGGTCTAGGTAAATAGCACCCCTGGACATGGAGTAAATGAAAGGAATACAGGCACTTAACAATGAAAGGTTGTTTGCACAAACAGTGCTTCAAAGGTAAATAAACAAGGGTCTTCTCAACCGTCACCACAGTAATAAAACTTTGGCACGTGTTCCAGAGCCAAATGGAGAATGTACCTTACTCAAGTCTCCCAGAGTTTCTAATGGAAACAATCAGTGGAGTTTGAAGTCTTAAAGGGAGCTGACGCTACAATGGCGAGTGGAATGCTTTTGAAGAAATATGGCAGAGCTGGGATTTAGGATTGTCAGTCATGTAGGCCATGTGGGAGATAACAGGCCAGTGTGGGCATTTTCTTACTGCAATGTTTGTATTGATGTGTACATTTCTATACAAATGTTTGCTTGGTGACATGTGGGGAAATTGAGGACATTTTTGAAAATATTACCATAGGGACCTTCAGAGAACCAAAGTGTCTGCTAAGCATAGTCACGTCTAGATTAAATAAAAATGGCTGTTTAGAATGTATCTAGCTGAGACTATACCAGAACAAACTTTTATCATATTGTCAAGTGATGAACTTTCTACAGCTTGGTGACTTTATAGTTTCACTTCCAAGGTGTCTACCAGCATAATTCAGCCAAGTTTCTAGATATATTATGCAAGAAGTAAACAATCTGACCAAGTGATGGTTATGTCTGTTATACAGAGAGATATATTTTCAAATACAACTCGCCCAAAGCAAAAGCCCCGAGGGGGTCCCAAGACCAAAAGTATGGACTGAGAACCTGACATGAAGGGCAGGCAGCAATGGAGCTTTCTTGGGAATGCCTTCTACAAGCTTTCCTTAAATATTGGAAATCTCAGCCAAAGAAGGGAGGCAAACTTCATGATGGCCAGTTTGAACAGTGGTTATAAAAGTAACAGAAACAGACAGTATGCAGCAGCCACAGGCCAGTTGGTGCTGCCATTTGGGAGGCTGCAGATGACTGTGGGTGGGAAATGCCTCTACTTTTTTAAGCGATGGAGATGAGTATGGTGTGCACTTGATTTTTTTTTTTCTTTATACCCCTCCCCCCCCCCCCCCAACAGGGCTGTCTGTCATAGGCTGCCAGGCCCGCTTTACCACTTGCCCCCGAGCGTGGGAATCGGAGCGTCCTGCCGTTCACATCTCCTGCATTCCGTTTAGCCGAATCAATTAGGCAAGACAGACCCTCAGATTCCCCACCCCCTTTCCATTTTTGTCAGGTCTATATACGTCCTAATTATTTCAGTTTGGGATGCCAGAGCTGTTTCCTGGATAGACCTGATCATCCTTAAACAAAAAGAGAGGAGGCGCACACGTGGGTTGTGGCGTAAATGTCACTTTCATTTCCAATGCTAGGCGCAGAGTAAGACAGAACATTTTTTAACACTTTGACAAGAGGGGAGGCGATCTCGTCTCCATCATGTCTTTCTGCTTCAGTAGCTTCCTCAAGGAAACCCTCTTGGAACAGAGAAGCATCTGTCCTTGTATTTTGAATAGAAGAATAAAAATCAGCCTTGGCTTTTTTTTTTTTTTTTTTTTTTTTTTTTTTTTTTTTTTTTTTTTTTTTTTTGCATTTTCCCTACTAGCTCTAAGTCCTCAGTAGACATAACTCATGAACCTTCCAGTATAAACTTTTCTGAAAGTCCAATTTCATATCATCTGACATATACCCCCAAATACATGTAGTTTCCAAGCATAATCTTAAAATTTTTCAGAGGAGGGAATTCAAGAGAACAGCCTAAGTCTATATAATATGACATCGTTTTTTTAACTGGGTACCAGGCACCTCTACAGCAGCTATCTAAGAAAAGAAAAAATAATTCATATTTAAACTTTCGCCTTTAAGTAGGACACACTGTACATGCCTCTTACCTCATTCGCACTATACAATTCTCCTTTTTAACAACCCCTCCTCAGAGTACCTGGCACCTTCATATCTCTGCATGTGTGTGCCACTTAATTTCCTCTAAAACCCCACCTTTACTCAGAAGGAAAACAAAAAACCGCAAACAAAGTTAGATTCAATAAATATTCCTGACCTTTCTGGTTTTTACTGTCTCTTGGCTGTAGTCTTTCATTCTCCCACGCTCCCCGGCGATCTTGAAGGAGTTTTTACTTTCGGTTATCTAGCTTTATGAAGACCAATACACTCATACAGCTAGATAACCAAAGATAACAACTCGCTTCCCTCACACGCCTCTGTCTTCCTCTGGCCAGAATCCAGATCCCGATCTTTCTGGCAGCACAGAAGAGTTGTCGTCCTCCGGGGCACTCGCCGCTCAAGATTCCTCCTTGCATGTAAATGTGACCTGGTTTCTGTTTGTGTGTGCGGCTAAAACATCCGAACGAGATCTGTGGCTGTGAAAGTTTATTCCAAACTTTTTTTTTTCTCTCCCTTTCAGCGAGTAATCTCCGGCAGCGTCAGTCAACAATTCATCTATGGATATCAGAAAATAAAACCAGCTATTAAGGTGCAGCAAGCGGATACGAGTGAGCAGCAGCATCCGTCCCTTCCGAGGCCTCTATTTGCATTGTAAATTGCTTCGTTCTCACGAAAGACTCCTCAGCCTCCCTCTACAGAGACGTGTGAAGCCAGCAGCAATTTCCAGCGCAGGTTAAGAAGGAAGGAAGAAAAAAAAAACACAAAAAAAAACACATCCCATTCTATAGGAGTGACAGCTGATTTCAAAGATCTGCTCCTGATCCTTTTGGGGTAAGCACCATGAGCTTTTTACCAAGTGGTGGCAGCTTGATTGCAATATCTTGTGTGTGTGTGTGTGTTTGAGGGGGAAGATCCTCAATTTCACAGGAGCTTCAGCTTCTAGGCTGGGGAAGAGAAGATGCGGTCTTGCTGGTGTGCTGCTGCCCCCGGTCTGAAAGAAGGAGAAAAGGGCCATCATTGGAAGGGCTTTCACTGCCAAAATGTGGACCAGCCCGGCAAGGTCAAAGGTTCGAGACCGCTGGAGACCAAGGTAATGATGATGTCATGAGAAATCTCAAGTACATGGTTATTGATATGCATCAGTGATCAGCCAACTGCCCCAGGCCTGCTTGCTGCGGGAGCAGTGGCAGAGGCAGCAGCAGCAGCGGCAGCATTGCAACAAGCCCTATTTTCTCAATCAACATCTCTTCCGTTAGCACTACCGACTGCTCCTGGAAAAGCAACCCGCGGCCTTTTACCTCCTCCGTGCCAGTGTAGATCGCTCTAATATCCAAAGACTGGAAGAAATCTCTCTCTGAGGACAGATAAAAGCATTTCAGATCTGGGGAACGTATTTGCCTGAATTTCTCTTATGGCAGATTGCATGGGCAGACAGATGGAAGGCACTTTGCTATTGCTTAAAGCAGGGCCTTGCTTTCTGGGGCTAGGAACCAGCTCTGTATTAGGCAGCGAGTCGATGCATTGACAGTTTGTTCTGGTGGTGTGTTTTTAATGGCTTTCACAGCTCAGGCATGTTTTGTATTTATGTACCATGGCAATAGGGCAGCGTTTGCTCTGTAAGTTCAAAACGAATGCTCTAAGCAAGCCGACTTCATCCCAATTTTTATAAAATAACTCTCTGCAGGGTGTGTGACTCAGAATGAAGAACAGGTAAACACTGCAGCAATAGTTTCTAATGTTGTGCACAACTCTACTGCAATAAATGTTGAGCCTTTGTCTATAGTTTCACACATCAACTTTCATACAGAAGGTCAAAATATACTAGGCTCCTTTGAGAAATTATGAAAGAAGAAATGCCACTTCAGTGAAGAAGACATAAAAATACCTGCATGTGAAGAGCAGAACCCTTCCTCTTCCCCACTCCCACCCTTTTTCTAGCTAGAGGGGGACATTGTATTAATTAATTAGCCTCATACCTTTTCTTAGGACTTTCCAGAGTGTAAATATGATCACTTAAGGGAGCTCTCTTCTTTTCTCTCCTTCATAATGAGTACTCTATGTCTAATGCATCTATAATATGTGCAGTTCTAACAGTCAGATGCCCCTTAACAGAATATCTAAGGTAGAGTCCATATAAGATGTATATTCACAATGGGTAAGTCTTATGGACTGTTTCCCAAAATGATGAGTTATGTTTGGGGGTATTACTATTCTTTAACCTAGACGCTACAATCAAATGTCATAAATCTCCATATTCATTTCACACATCACTAGTCTATCGCAATACTCTCATTTCTATAGGTTAACTATTTCCCCCAATCACTAAAATACTTTCAGAATTAAAATATGATTTTTCATTGATTCAGTAATTTATTCATTTAAGACATGAGTGAAATATGCTTACCAAATTACATACAGAGCATACATATGTAAATTCTATAGAAATGACTGGCAAGTAAAGAAAATCAGAATTGCTAAGAAAAGCCCCCAATCAAGAGTATAAACAACGACATCCTACCAGATAAATATATGTTATAGTAGCACAAATGTCATTTTTCCCTAATTTTTTATTAATTTACTTTTTGGTGAGCCTTTTTGTCCTGATTATTAAAAAAATACTGCACTGTAAAAATCACTTATCTATTTTTCTTATCAAATTTTGGTCCAGGAAGTACAACAAGAAATGGCTGTATTGTAATATCTATCTATCTATCTATCTATCTATATGGCAAACTACAAACTAATTGAGAGAAATATACTTCTATAGAGTTACTGTTTCTTCTTGAACTGAGAGGTCGCAACATAAACTACTGGATAAGAATTGAACATATCACGGAGGTATGTGTTCATGTCACTTCTGCCAGTATGTAAAATCCTAATGAGCTTTGCTGCCTTGGAATATTGAAATTATTTTGGCCTTGCTTTCCAAGACCTAGAAACAGAATCATTAGTGACTTGGGCATGTACTACATAAAACAAGCATATGATTAGATGAATTCAATTCCGTAAGTAAAAACCCCAGAAAGTGCCAGTTATTTTTGGAATATCTTTTTTGCTTTATATATGTCTGGGAAGGATGTTGGTGCAAATAAAGAGATCTGATGCATGAATGCATGTATGTCTCTGTGTATCACCCCCATATTTGTGTGAATTTGCAAATTAATGTTGCTATAGTTCCACATTTAACAATTAAATGCATTTTAGAACCCAATTAACTATCATGAAAACCAAGACACTAAACATTTGAGATGCTTCTACAATTAGAAGCTACAAAAGATACTGTCTTAAAATAGCATCTTTAAAGGCAATACCACATAGTAATATCAGCTGACTCCAGGACTGGCCTCCATGCCTAATACATGTAACATAGATTCATTATGAGAGCCCGGAAAGTGAAAATAGTCAACATAATGATTATGGCCAGTCTGTTCATTAACCAAACAGCCAATTAAATATTTTACTTTAACCATCATCTTTCTAAGTATGAAGAAATAAAAAATATATATAGCAAGATTTAACACTGAGCACCTTATTATTTTGATAATTGCCAAGGTTCATATCATAGTTTATCATACACATTTCAAGGACATGTTGAAATGTATATGAGACAAGTTGAAACAATTGTGCTCTAAAGATTCCTAGCAATGTCTACCCCACATTGTTAGGAGCAGCTATTAACACTTACATGTTCTTATTCCAGATATTTTTGCTTTTCAAAAGCTATTTAGCTGAGCTACAGAATACCCATTTTGAAATCTGCATATTTAAGAATATACTGAATTCAAATGGCTTGCATGCTCATTCTCTAATAAATTCCCATTAATGGCCAGTAGATTAGGACGTGATTGTCATGCTTGTTTTCTAATCTTTTTACAGGTCTCCAGATGGCTGAAACATGGATGGAAACATCCTGGTTTTCTAGGGAATAAACAATCTCTGCTTAAGTTAAAAGCGAAAATTTATGATTTTTCACATATTTGGATCAGAATTATACTGTTCCATAAATGAAAATTCATCAGGTTTGCCACTAATATTTAGAGCACCTCTATGAATCCTATTCAGACTACTGTAGAATATATAAAAAATTGGCCTATCACCAGAATCCTTTTTAATATTGAGTTTGCATGATTCTCATGCATATAAAACACAGTCCACTAATACAGCCAAGACTACCATTTTTTACATAAAAGCCATTTAATTTGCAGTTATTTGTATACTTCAGGCAAGGTACTTGACTGGCTTGCTTTCTAATAAATGTATCCTATTATTTCTTCTGTGTCCCAAATTCCTTTTTTTTAATAGGTATTTACAGGTTATATTTACATTATCTTTGATATGTAATATACAAAGGCTATGGGGGGGATGACAATTGCATATATGGAAACTTGGATTTTTCTGGAATTGTATCTATTGCATGAAATGGGAGATGTGCAATACACTGCAGGCTTGCTACTCAGTAAATAATATTTTATACATCACTTTAATTTGCAATTTTGTCAAGTATAAATTTTGAAATTACCTTTGGTTGGTGGGATGTCTATTCACTTTATACTTCTTTGTAGCATCATCTGAAAAACAGTCAAGAAAACAAAATTATCATAGTTTTAATATATACATAAGCATGTCTAAATTTGGCTTCATTTAAAGTACTGCAATTACAATGATTCCTTACAATGACAAGAGATTCCAGAAAACCCCAATACAATGTATTCTGGGCTTCAGCACCTACAGAGTTAAATATGCTAATTTACATTTAAATGGAGACATGCATGATAATGGGAATGCAAAATATGCAGAATCTGGAAGTGTTTGGAAATTAATTTTTTTCTTTCTTCTTTTATGCTATTTTTAGCTTGGAGGGAAGAGGGACTTCAAAAATACTAGGGATTTGAATACTGTTACCTGCCATACAAAAGAGGAGGGAGAGTTCTTCCATGCAAGAATATTAAGACTGGAACAAAGTCGTATTTTCTAAATGTTTAAGGAACTAAATTTCCAAACCTTTCAAACAATGGGAATCCCTGGATAAATATCCAATCCATTAGAAAGATGCAAATAGTTTACTGTAAGGCAACAGCACGGTGAGATGTGCATTCATATCTACGGCTCCTGATTGGCTATTTCCTCCAGTAAATCAATGAATAATGTAAAACCTGATTGCTGTAAAGTGGTGGGTTTTCTTTTTCCCTTCCCCCATCCCCCAAGACTCAATATATTCAAGAAGTCTTAACACTCCTGAAAATAGCTTGCTTTCCTTTTATGATTTTTAAATGCTTATTGTTATTTTGGAGTGGCGGGGTGGGGCTATTGGGTTTTGCAAAATGAAAGTACTGCACTGGTTCAACAATCCTGACTCTGGGAGCTCGTTTCCCAAGACAGCATCCTAATTACTGGTACCAAGGTGGAGAAGGAGGGTGGCGGGCAGAGGTGGGCATTAGAAGAGGGAAGAAACTAGAGCCTAGAGCCGACCCCACTGCTGTGGACCCAAGCCAGCCACTGGTCCCAAAGAGCCCCCAGCAGTGGCCATGACTTGACAGGCCCCCAGTCTAACTTCTGATCAATCTCACCGCTGCTCCGACCCCTCAAGACCGTCCTCCATTCAGGCCCTGCGGATACCTTTGCCAGAGAAAACGCAAAAACAGTCTCCAAGGCAAATACATTGCCTGGGTCCTCACTGCCCCTGGGTTCCTACAGATAATTCCAGGCCACAGAAGGACTATGGTCTCTGGTCTCTCGTCTCCTTCAGCGGAGTCTGGGTTCCATGCAAACCGCAAAAACCGGGCTCCGCTGGCATCCCAAGCTCCAATAACTAACCCAGATGACTGCATATCGATGAACCTAACTTGGGATAACCCGGTAAAGCGGCTTCTTGCCTCCCAGAATCCAAAATGCAAAGAGAAGAAGGAAGTAGAAATCCACCAGGTCTAGTTAGCTACGGAAGATAAGTTTCCACGGAAATCCAATCAAACCCTCTCCTCCTGGCCAGGTAATTGCCACTTGGAGGGGGTGAACATAATTATTCAAAATGCGAATGCTGCCGAATCCAGGAACGCAAAACTATAACCGCATTTGGCTCTAGGTTTAAGAGGGGGAGAAAGTCCTACCTCCACCAACACAAAATTACATACAAAATTCCCTTTTTTTCCAGCACGAAATGTTCCCGGTTTCTCTCTGCAAGAGCCGGGGTCAGGCTGCTGGATAATTAACAGCCCTGACTTAAGAGAACTCGTGAGATCAACAGGTTCAGGATCTGAGACACACCATCCTTAGCTGAAGCGACCCGGGGGCGACCCGGGGCGGGATTCTGCGGGCACCGGGCCGGGCTGCGGGCGGAGCTGGGCCCGAGCCGCCGCTGAGGCTGAGCTGTCGCCTGCGGGCCGCCGGGTACTCACCTGCTCTCCCTCCGCCGGGCAGTGCTGCCCCCCAAGTCCTGCTGCTGGACAGGAGTCCAGAAGACAAGATCCAGTCTCAGAGCGGCCGCAGTCCACACACAGGCTCTTTTCCACATCTCAAAAGAAAAAGGAAAAATAAAAATAAAAAAAGAAAAGAAAATTCAGATCACCCCTCTCCTTAGCACGTTTAAAACTGCCGCTCAATTCCACATGGTGATTCTTGCTTGATTGGGTCTAAAATAGTTTCAACGGACCTTCCCTTCTGGGGGGAAGAGAGAGAAGGGCGCAAAAGATGAAGAAGAAAAAAAAAAGCCAACTCCCCCTCCTCCCCCAAGGCCAGGCACTTGCTCCCTGAGCTTCTGAGTGGAGAGTGAAGTGGTGTGTGCGAGGCTCGGCAAGTTTTTGGGGGGGCCGTCCAAGGTCTAGTCCAGCCCCCTCTGCCGAGGAGGACGTGCTCTGAAACCCAACCAATTTCCCCACCGCTTTTGTTACTGATGAACTGAAGCCCCATTGTTCATCCATTGCCACGGTCTTTTTCAGTCCCCACACTGCGTCCTGCGTCGCCAGAGATAATGAATTTGCACCCAAACCTCTCATAGTCCCCTCCTGACAGACGGAACAAATTAGAAATGTCTCGTCTGAAGGAGGGCAATGGCTACATTTTCCTATTGTAGAATGCAAAGCACACATTTCTTTGGAAACTTCTCTCGCCTTTTCTACCTTTTATTTTCTTCTCCCTCTTTTTCTTTTTTTTTTTTTCGCCCCTCCGGTTTTTCTCTCTTGATTCCTTTAGTCAGTCTCTCTCTCTCTCTCTCTCTCTCTCTCTCTCTCTCTCTCTCTCTCTCTCTCTCTCTCTCCAGAATAGCCCTGTCTTGTTTTTCCAGTGCACCATTTTGTGAAACTTGTGGGTCTTTGCTACCTTCTTCCTTTTGGTATTTTATTTACAAACTTGGAGAATAACCTTTTGACTTGCAGACTTTTTTTTTTTTTTTTTTAAAGAAAGGTCTTTTGGTTCAAGCCCCCTTTGCTCACTCCTCCCCTCCTTTTTGTGGTGGTCATGAAATGTGTTTTGCTAATGGCAAGCAATACATTATAAGAATTTTTTCTCTTGAAACTCCAGAGCTATTCAAAAGATACCAGGGACGCACCAGGGGGGATTATCTATATGAGAGGCTAGAAAAAGGGTGTGTGTGTGTTTGTGTGTTGCAGGGACAGAGGCAGGGGGGTGTGGGAGGGTGGGAGTGGGAGTGTGCGGGGAGAGAAGGGTGGGGATCTTGCGGGGAAGGTGGGCTTCCTGGAGCATGATGGGGAAGACTGTGAGGGGTGTCAGCACGAGCAGGAGGGTGCAAGAATCTGTCCTGGCAAGGGCGGCTGTACCTCTGGGCCTGTGTGAGCGCCCGGGCCAGCCGCAGCCGGGCACGGGGGTCTGCGCGCGTGCCACCGGAGGTGGAAGGGGGGCTGCAAAAATTCAGACCGGTGGCCCGTATGTAAATGATGCCTATGGGGGGAGGGGGCTGGGCAGCAGCAATCGGAGTCTCGGGCTGGCAGGCCCACTGGCGGCCCCAGCTTTCCCGCCAAGTGCAGCGGGAGGACGCAGAGCCAGGCGCGTCCTTGGCGGGAGGCCCCCGCCCCCGCCCCCGCACACACTCCCCTCGCGGGCGTGGGGCTCCGTGACCGCGGGCGCGGCAGAAAAACAAAGCGATGGCTGCGGGTGCGACCAAGAATCGGCAGCCTTGGCAGCCAAGGGCAGGTCTGGGAGAAACCGAGACCGCGGCCTCCCTCCGGCGCCCCTTCCTCGCCGGCCGTGGCCTTGCCCTCCGTGCCCAGCTCTGCCGCGGCCGGAGGAGGCCGGGGAGCATTTCCTAGCGGCCCGGGGAGGGCGGCGGCAGAGGCGGGAGCAGATGGGCAGAGGCCTGCGGCAGCCCTGCCCGGTGCGGGCACAGACACGCACACGCCGGAGCAGGGCTGGAGGAGGACTGGGGGGGGGGGGGGGGGTGGGCGCGAAGGCCTCCAGCCGCGGGGCCAGAGCCGCCACCTCCTCGCCCAGGCTGCCGAGCTCGGCGGAAAGCACAGGGGGCTAAATCTGGCCAGGGGCTCCACCTCGGAACGGTTCGCACCTCAACACCCATCCCCAGACAATGTAATCGGAAGGGCCTCGCTGTTCAAAGATAGCCGCCTCCTCCTCCTCCTCCTCCTTCCTCCTCCTCCTCCTCCTCCTCCTCCCCCTCTTCCTCCTCCGACCACCCCTCCCTTCTTTCTAACGGGAGAAACTCCAAAGCCAGCCGCGTAGCTCGGTCTGGCCTACGTGTCCTGCAGAGAAGTCCCAGAGATGGTTGCGGAGAGACACAGATCTCCCTCATCATCTGGCTCACAGCGCCACACACAATCACACAATCACATACACTCTCACGCACACATAATCACACTCACACATAGAGACACTCACTCACACAGACACACACACACAGTCACACACATAATCACACACACACATAATCACACACACAGAGACACTCACACAGACACACACACACACACACATAATCACACACACTCTCTCTCTCTCACACACACTCACACACACACACAACATTCCCACCCCATTAAGACGCAGTCCGTGGCTGTTAAAGAAGCCAACGGCTTACTGGTTGAGCAGGTAAACAGGTACCGAAAGGAGAAGCCCCCCGCCAGTCGCCTGGGCCATTTACCTCTCCCTACTGGAAACACGTGTGGCTTATCGTGTTTTAGGAATGATTTGCTGTTGTCTGAGGTTTCCCCCTCCTCTTCTTGTGGAAAAAAAGCAAAATTAAAAATTAAAAATTAAAAAACGATGTTCCATTGTCAGTCTTCTTTCTGATAAGCTACCCGAGCATCATCTAAAACATTTTGGGATTCGATTTGGTGTATCTGCTGTCTTTGGTTGCTGTTTTGGGGTGTGCTGTTTTTCTGGGGGAAGCAGAATGACTCGCACTTGGAGGGGCTGGAGGTTCAGGACCAGCGCTGCGTGTGCGGCGGAGGGCTGGCGAGGCTGGCAGCGGGACAGGGAGGAGGGAGGGGGGCTGGTCCTCCCCCGGGGCTGGCACGGACCCCCTCGGCCCCTCGGGCCTGGGCTCGGCTGGCGCCGCGGCCGCCGCCCGCACTGGCGGGTTCCTTCGGCCGCCGCTCCGTGTTTTCCCCCATCCCGGCTTCACGTTCAAGGTTTAGCTGCGAGGTCACGTCCATTGACGTCAGCTCCCTGTCTCCCTCTACGTCCGGCTACATTTACATACATCAAGGAAATTAGGGCATTAAAAAAATATGCAAATCCTGCGCGAAGAGGAGCCGGTGCATTCCTGGCGCGATGGCCTTTTATTGAAGCTTTTAATTAAAGGGGCCGGTTGGCGAGCCCGTGAAACAACCGCCAAAACCCCCAAAGAGAAAAATAAACGCTGTAGCCTTCGGGAAAAGGTTGTTTCGGTTCCTGTTCTGTGGGCGGCTGAGGACCGCCGGCTGCCCGGCTCGGAGAACAGGTTAGAGGAGGCAGCTCCAGCCCATGCATAATCAGGGCTCCTCGGCGCCTCCATTCTTTCCTCCTCCTCCTCCTCCTCCTCCTCCTCCTCCTCCTCCTCCTCCTCCTCCTTTCCTCCTCCTCCTCCACCCCTATTCCTCCACCGCCTCCTCCTGCTCCCTCTCCTGTTGGTTCGAGCGTGTATTATTTTTAATACTGATGCATATGTAAAGATATATTTGCATTTTTAATGGGGGGGGGGAGAGTTCAGATTGTATCGTTTTATTGATTCTACCCTCTCCTGCTTTGCTATCTTATTATGTCTATCTATTTCTCTTGTTCCTTTCTGTCTATTTTTTGGCGAGTGTACGATGCTGTCTCTTGCTAGATAAATATGCACAGTTGCCTGCCTGCTTCTGTTTACTTAGGCTCCAAATATGCACATCTGTCATGTATGTAATGCCAGCTGTACAACCTCCTGGTTTGGTCACAAAAGAAAAGACACTTTTTTTTTCTTTCCTGACATACCTCCTTGATGGATTGTAATGTAATGTCCATTGCTCAGGACTCAAAGTTTGATTGTCTAATTAACTTCATATTAACCAAAACACAGTTTGGGCCAGTGCATTTGAGATAATGTATAACGGGAAGTGGCTCCAAAGATTTCTAAAGAATTTCTGTGTCAGTTAGCTGAAAAGTGCTGGATTCACGACTGCCCTATTGCTTTCTAGCCTTTCTTATTGCAAAACAACAACAACAACAAAAAAATTTACTTTAAAATGTGTAGACATGGCAATGGACAGCCTTTTTGCAAAGAAGACATTTTCAACCATGTTGTATGTTGTGCCTTATCTGCTGCATTCAAAATTTACTGAGTTTCCTTTTATCTTACCATGTCTGGGAACAAGGCACATTACCTTGATTGAAAAGTGTCCTTAATTCCTGACTGTGAAATGAAAACAAATAAACAAAACAGATGGCTATCCTAAGCCAATTGATCTGCCCTAAAACATACAGGCCTTTGGTTAGATTTCAAGCAATGGTAATCTTGTTTACAGAGTAGGATTTCCTTCCTGGTGATGTATCAGTTCAGCACAATGGCTTTTGAAAAAAATATATGTGCAAATCCACTTTTAAAATTCCCCCCAACCTATTATTATTATTTTTTTAAAGACAGAACCCACAAAGAACAGCAAATACGCACTCATGCAGCTTATTCAATTAAACAAATCCAAGTACATGCACAGGTAATTGCTTTTCTTATGAATGACTTACCTGCACAGACACCCAGGACGAGAGTCAGCCCTCCCCAATGGTTTTCCTGTATAAATATTCACATGTATTCCCCCGTTTTTAAAGCTACAGCTGAATCCCATCTCTCATGCTGGGCTCTCCAGCATCCATTTTTTAACACTCTTAATTCTCATGGCATTTGCAGCCTTACCTCTGGCTGCAGTTTTTCCAAGCATACACCCAAGTGCTCCTACGCTATGTCACCCAATAAGAAGTGGTCAGATGGCTGCACGTAAAACATTAAAAAGCAGAGGCACACTCATCCTTTCGGTGTGCCCCTGCCTTGCCATTTATAGCAAGATGATTTTTTCTAAAAGAACATTTTTCAGCACATCTTATGGATAGTTGCAGATTCCACAACTGGTTGCAGAACTGCCCAGTGTCTGGGGGTCACCTGCCCAATGGGAACAATTCGGCAGGTCAAATGTCTCTTGGACTTTGGCCGCAATTCAACCAACTGGATTCTGGCACACACCTGCCCGCCTTTATGCAGGGATCGGGACAAACACACTGGCCACTGGCAGGGCTCAGAGCGGCGGGCGCCTATATTGAGATGGTAGCAGCAAGCAACGTGTGCATGTACGGATGTCTGTACATGCATGTGTGTGCAGACGCGTGTGTGCGCGTGTGTGTGTGCGTGTGTGCATGCGCACGCTCTGTGACAAGGGACACAGAGGGGGTGCACCACATATCTGATCTCCGTAATCTCCTTTCCTGTTTCTAATCTCCCTCATTGGCGCGTGGTGGTAACCTGGAGCGTCTGAACCATCACTGTCCTTGCGGGCGCGCGCGTGGCTTACCCCGGGGCCGGTGGCGCTGTGGCTCGCTGGCTCAGAGGGTGCCGGGCTGGAGGGTGGGTAGTGCCGCTGCTGCCGCCGCCGCCACCGCGGGTCTGGGTGCTCTGTCCCAGCCTGGCAGCGGAGCGCGGTGCCGGAGCCCCCTCCCACCCCGCCCTGGCCCCCATCCTCCCCTCCCGCTCATCGGCACCTCCCCTCCCACCCCCACCCCACCCAACCCCGCCCCCGCCCCGCATTACCACTAGGAGGCCGAGTCCCTGCGAATCACAGCGGTGGCAGCGGCATTTGAATAAGCACCGCACGCCTCGCGCAGACCCCAACTCCTCCGCAAGCAACGCCCCTGCACCTGCACCGAGGGCCAGCGCTCCCGCCGGTGATCTAGCGGCGGCCGACGCCTCCCCAAAGTGCCCCGGCGCTCCGGAGAGAGGGTGGTGGGTCTCCCACTGGCTACTTTTATATGAACTTGATTGATAGGATCAGACAATAAATGGGGGGGTGCAGAGAGATGCATACACAGAGAAAGACGGGGGGGAGGGAGGGTTGGGGGGGGAGAGAGAGAGAAGAAAGAAGAGAGGCATGGGGGGGTGGACAGAGAAGGGGAGAGGAAAGGAAGACAGAGGCCCA